AACTCCAAACAGGACAAACATGAAGAGATCCACATCCAGACACATCATAGCAAAAACGATGAAAGCCAAAGAGAAATTTCTGAAAGCAGCAAAAGAAAAATAACTTGTTGCCTACAAGGGAAGCCCAGTAAGATTAACAGCTGACTTCTCATTAAAAACTATGGAGGTCCAATCAATTGGTGAATGGATTAAAAAAAAGATTCCATACAACAAAATACTACTTGGCAATAAAAAGGAATGAACTATTGATACACACAACAACATGGATGAATCTCAAAATAATTATGATGAGTGAAAGAAGCCAAACCATACGACTATATTAAAAAAAAAAAAATTCAAACTAATCCATAGCGACAGAAAGAAGATGAATAGTTCCTGAGGAGGCGCAGTGCAGGGATGGACACAGGAAGGGATGACAAAAGGGCACAAAGAAACTTTTGGGGGGGATAGACAAGTTCATTTTCTTGATTGTGGTGGTGGTTTCACTGGTATATACATATGTCAAAACTTACAAAATTGTACATTTTAAATATGTCTAGTTTATTGTATGTTAATTTTACTTCTATAAAGCTGTAATTGATTAATCAATTAATTGCTTAATGAATTAATTATACTCAGTGTGACAACACCACACTCGTGACACAAAGGCCTCTTCCAGGACTACCCTCAACAACTGATGCACCCAGCTTCCAAATTGGCCAGGGCTGAAGAGAGGAATGCCCAACATGTTTTCTCATGCCTGTGGAAGGGCAGCCCCCAAGAGAAGAAAGGTAAGCTCTCTCCTCGTGTTGTCTCTGATCCACCCCAACACCCCTCACACACACACGCAATGGAATAGGACCCTTGTCATAGCAGTGTCACCCACCCACAGTTATAGAGGTTTGAGGTGATTTTAAATAGGGACCCCAAATTCTTTGACATTGACAGGTAGGGTCTATCTCCCCTCCTCTTGAAGCTGGATGAGCTTGTGACTGCTTCAACCAACAGATCACAGCAGAGGTGATGCTGTGTGACTTCAGAGGCTGGATCATCAAAGGCGGGTAGCTTCTGCCTGATTTGCTGAAACTCTGAATTGCCATGCAAGATATATGACTACCCTAAGGCCGCCATGCTGTGAGGAAGCCCAGCCACAGAGCAAGGCCATGGGTAGGTGCTCCAGACGGCAGTCTTAGTCTTCAAGTCATCTACCCCCAGTGCCGTATGTGTGATGAATGAGTTTTCAGATCACTCCAGGTCCAGACTTCAAGTCTTCCCAGGTCAGGCCAGACACCGTGGAGCAGAGACAAGCCATCTCTGCTGTGCCCTGTCTGAATTACCACCCCAAAGAATCTGTGAGCATATTAAAATGGCAGTATAAAGCCACTAAGCTTTCTCTTACCATCTCTTACCTCTGTTTTCCTTTAGTTTGTAACACAGCAATCATAACTGATACAGAGGTGAAGCCAGGCAGAAACTCCTATGCCCTGTTCATGCTTCTGAAGGCCAAGGCAGGGACAAAGTACCTATCTGTATTACCTGAGCAAACCTGGACTTGTGTACCTGGGGATCCTGCAAGGACACAGGCCCATAGAATGGTGCTTAGAGTGGCCTCTCAACCTCCACATAGCCCCACCTTGAATATGACTTCCTCCTCCACTACCCTCTGGAGAACAGGGGCCTAAGAGAGGACAGTGTCGCAGACTGGGCAACACTTTTCAAACATTCCTAGGCAAAGGCTGCCCCAGAAGCCTGGACCAGGAGAAAAAGGCAGAGATTGGCAAAACTATCTAAGTTCCCAAAGGGGGACACCTGTTGTTTCGCGCCATCCTGAAAACAGAACTGCCTTTCGCCTTTGGGGACCATGCGAAACCAATGAGGCTGTCTGTCACACGAACCCACCCTACTGCTGTTTTGCTGACCCTATTCCATGGAAAGAGAAGTGAACTCCTCCTTGGACAGAGTGATGGGTCCAGGGATGGGCACATGGTCCAAGTAGAACCAATCAAGTCATCTTAGGAAGTCTCACGTGACTGATTTCACAGGCACTAAGGACCACATTTGAGACACTATAAGTGGTCTTTCTGGAGTCCTGAGGTGGTGCAAATGGTCATCTGCTCAGCTGCAAACCAAAAGGTTGGGGGTTTGCATCCACCCAAAGGTGCCTCAGAAGAAAGGCCTGGTGATCTACTTCTGAAAAATTAGCCATTGAAAACCCTATGGAGCACAGTGCTTCTCTGACATACATAAGGTCACCATGAGTCAGAGTCGACTCAATGGCAACCAGCGGTGGTAAAGAACCATGTAAGCCAGCAGCTACCAGGGCCACCTTTCCTACCCTTTAGGGAAGACCTGCCTGAGAATTAAGCCAATGTAGAGGAAAACAGAGGCAAGAGATAACAAGAGAAAGCAACGAAGTCCCAGCAACACTGCAGAAAGCCCTAGATGCAGCCATGACTGAGGCTAACAATACCTGGTGGACTTCACAAATGAGCTGCTAAGTCCCCTTTGCTTAGCTAGAGACAGAGAGAGTCCTGGCCAAGGCCATGCCCCTCCTGCCTCTGGTCCCTAAATGTTCCTGCATGTTTATTCAGCTGGAAGGGGAGTCATGCAGTTTTAAGGTGACGGAGACAGCTGAGCGTTTTAGGGAAGATAAAATGAGATGGCGGATGTCATTTGCCTGGCATGGGGCCAGGTACGTGGCAGGCATCTCCATGTGCCCCTGGACATCAGATTTCTGACTGTGTCTAGCACAGCACAACCACGGTGAGCGCCCACGGCCCTCTGCAAGCGGGCTGCTCCCAGGCTGTGGACTGAACCTGCATCCTGCCACACACACCTGAGATAGCATGCCCGGGAAATGGCCTTCCTCACCGGTAAGAGTATCCCACACAGAGAATCCAGTAACCACACATCTCACCTCAACACACAATTGTGAGGTTTTATGAAAAATACAAAATCAACCACCAAAACCTTTCCGAACGCCTGGCACACAGCCTGCCAAAAACTCCGCCCCCGACAGAGGAGTCTTCTGCAGATGTCTCTAAAATGGTAAGTTATCTACATAGCTTAAAATTTAATTCACTTTACCAAAAAATCTCATGTTTTAAATAACTTTTCAGTAGCATCTATTACCTAAACTATTATATTCCTAGAACCTAACAATCTCTACTTTGCCCTCACACACACAGACTTCTGTTACAACTATTTTCACTAATGATGGTGAATTTATCTACATTTCCAACAAAATCTTCATCTCCCATTTTCTCCGAGGAAAGAAAAAATGACTATATAAAACAATTCACATACAACCCACAAAATGACTTCCAGTATGGCCTTATCAAAGACTTGTTACAAAACATTTTATTTCATCTGGCGGCCAGAAATGATGTCCAGTTGTCTGGAACATGGGCTGCTAGAGGCTGCTTGTCATGTATGACTGGAAGGGCAAAACGCAGGAGATGACAGCTGTGAGTCTCAGAATTCCAAAAGTCACACCGAGCAGCAGAGCACCATCACCCGCACGCTAGAAGAAGCCACAGCTCCTGAACAAAACACCCACGTGGTTCATACTGGCAGTAATTAAATGAGCGATGTATTTTTAATAAAACTGGAACAATTTCCTTCTTTTTTGCTGTTGCTAAATGCTTCCCCTTTTTAGGTAGTTATTGGTGTATGGAACTCAAAGTAAATGCCCTTTAATACAGTTGAACCTGGAATGTCTTCAAGAAGGCTGTACTGTCAGCGTTGGAATTATTAAAACAAAAGAAAAGTCATGGGAAAGGAGAACAGAGTCCCAGGACGTAGTCATCCAGCTGTGCTCTGGCTCCCCCTCCCAGCGGACTTTCTCCCCCAGATGATCTGGTGCTCAGTCACCAGGGAAGTCTGAGCAGGCGGCAGGAACGGCACCCCCGGCAAAGCAAGAGCTGTTCACACGGGCATACCTGGGCTCAACACCCTGGTTCCACGAGTTAAGGAAACAACCTGGATTCAGACCAACTGTCCCTTTTCTTGTTTCTTCCCAAGTCACTGTGTCCCCAAATCTGGCAACTACCTAGCCCCTACTACAAGCAGGGGGCATTGGTGGTTCAGTGGTAGAATTCTCTCCTTGCATGCAGGAGACCCAGGTTCGAGTTCCGGACAACACACCTCATGTGATGGGCAGCCACCACCCATCTGTCCATAGAGGCTTGCATGCTGCTATGATGCTGAACAGGTTTCAGTGGAGCTTCCAGACTAAGACAGACTAAGAAGAAAAGCCTGGCGATATACCTCCAAAAATCAGCCACTGAAAAACCTATGACTCACAACTGTCCAATCCCATTGTGCATGGGGTTGTCATGAGCCACAGGCCAACTTGATGGCAGCTAACCACAATAATGGAGCCCTGGTGGTGCAGCAGTTAAAAGCTCAGCTGCTAACCAAAAGGTTGACAGTTTGAATCTACCAGCCACTCCTTGGAAACCCTATATGGCAGTTCTACTCTGTCCTGTAGGGTCACTATGAGTCGGAATTGACCCTATGGCAGTGGGTTTGGGTGTTTTTTTTTTTTTTTTTGGTTTTTAATCAAATAACTACAAGCAGGGGACTCTGCTGCTTCTATATGGACTGATTTTCACAGGACAGACATCTGAAGGAAGGCTATGTTTTAATCACATGATCCCCTTTCTCCCATGGCAGGAAGCTGCCTGCCTCAGGACTTCCCCCCTCCTTACTGCTCCCACAGCACCCTGCCACGATCAGGCCAGTGGTCAGCCCTGGGACTTAGTCTTCCCGACAGTATCCGGCGTCAGGAGAAGGCACCCTGGCCCAAGGTCACACAGCTGGTATGTAATTTGAGTTGGGCCTCAGGCTCCCGCGTGCTGACTCCAGGGACTGCGCTGGCCATACTGGGCTGCCAGAAGCCTCTCTGCACCCCCAGAGCCAGACCCCTAGCTTTGTGAGATTCTGCCCTACGAGGTGCCAGGCATGTCAGCAGTGTACAAAGTTACAATGATACAGCTGTCCCCTTTCCTTGGAGTGACCTTCTCTGAAAATCCACATCAAGTCCAGGAGTGTTCCAAGCCCAGCTCCAAACCCATTCCCCCAAGAAGCATCCCCAGCCCCAGTCACAGCTTCTTTCCTTCCCTCCTCGCAATCCCTCAGCCCTGCCTGGCCGACCCAGGAGTCGGTGTTGGTGTCTGTGCGGCTCGGCCATCTCTGGAGCTCATTCCCCAGGCCCCAGCCCCATCCACTGCAGTGCCGGGCGAGGGCTCCGTGTGACATTACAAAGTGGACACAGCAAGGGAGGAAACACGCTTGGAGCACCTTCAGATGGACACTCCCCCAGAGAAACTTGCTCAGTGTTATCAAGTCACAAGTCATCAGAAACTGGGTGTCTTAGTTTCCTTGGGCTGTTGTGACAGAAATATCACAAGTAGGTAGCTTTAAAATACAGAAATTTATTTTCTCACAGTTCTGGAAGCTAAAAGTCCAAATTAGGGTGTCAGCCACATCGATTCCTTCTGTGAGCCTCTCTCCTAGCTTCTGGTGTGTGCTACAATCTTTGAGGTGCCTTTGCTTGTAGGCAGTTCCCCACATGGTGTCTGTCTTCCCCGTGTGTGTCGCTGTGTCTATTCTGGTCTGGTCTTTCTTGAACTCAGAAACGATTTGGTTTAGGACCCACCCTACTCTGGCATGATCACATTAACATAACACATATCCTATTTCCAAACAGTCATATTCACAGGTACAGGGGTTAGGACTTTAATATAACTTTCTGGAGGATGTCATTCAATCCACAACACTAGAAAAGAGCAGAGTGGTGCTATCCATCAGAGTCTTCAGACAGGATGGAGTTCCTGGGTGATGCAGATGGTTAAAGTGCTCAGCCATTAACCGACAGGTTCGAGTCCACCCAGATGTGCCTTGCAAGAAAGGCTTGGCAATCTACTTCTGAAAAATCAGCCACTGAAAACCCTGTGGAGCACAGTTCTACTCTGACACACACAGGGTTACCATGAGTCGAAACTGATTTCAATTGTTTCTTCATGTGGGATGGGCTGGGACCCAAAGGCCCTCCACAGTAGGGTCAGGGAGGAAGAGATGGGCCGGGGGGAGGGGGGGCAGATAACCTGTTGCTGAGGGGAAATAGTTCCCTGAGGAAAATTGCAGAGGTCCATGTCACTGTAACAGCCAAGATGCATCTCGTAAGCTGAGAAGCAGATTGATGCTGAATAACACAGTTTTTTAAATGTTGAGGCAAGCTAAGAAGGTTCCTGACAGGAATTAACTGAGGGCCGGGGTGTTAGTGGTTCTCCTAGTACTCTGTACCCACAAAATGATGAACTCCTCACAGAAAAGGCCAGAGTCAGGCAGGGCAAGCATGAAACCTTAAGCCTGAGCTCCCTGCCCCTCACCCCTGCTGTCCCATCAGCACCTACACAGTGACAAGGCACCTTGCTTCAAGGTCAGAGGGTGAGAGACGCTGAGGAAATAAAGATTCTCCAAAGGCAGAGTCAGAGAAGCAGCAGCCAGCCTTACCAGTTATGGGGAACAGTTTACCTTCCCTGGGAGAAAGCTGTACTTCTTTAAATACAGAATGGCTCATTACTTTGGGGGAGCCTAGGGGATTTATGAAGGAGCCCTGGTGGCACAATGAGTAACCTCTCGGATGCTTACCAAAAGGTTGGCAGTTCGAACGCACCGGTTCGCTCCTCAGGAGAAAGAGGTGGTAGTCTGCTTCCGTAAAAGATTACAGCCTTGGAAACCCTACTGGGCAGTTCTACTCTGTCTCATAGGGTCACTATGAGTCAGAATGAACTCGATGGCAATGGGTTTGTTTTTGTTTTTTTCTGAAACACTGTTTCCCTGGGGTACAGAAAGCTCCTCTTCCCTTCTCTGGCATGCACACCCGGGCAGCAGGCACCCCGTTAGCAGATGTGTGTGCAGTCTCACCCCTGTCCCTGCCGAGGGGGCTCTGGCCCCCCACAGATGGCTCCAGGTTCCATCCATGCCACCCCTAAAGCCGACCACCGGGGCAGCCTGACGTGTTCTGCTCAACTGGGCAGGAACACTCCCAGTTTTCTGGGCTTCCCCCCACCCCCACCCCCGAGGTTCTCTAGTCAGCTCTGTCCAGACCCGGTGGCAGGGAGTCTGAGCTATGACTTGCTAATGGATGGGGAGAGGCACCAGTTCCTTCCGCCTGCAGGCAGTTCGCACCGCCAGCCAGCGAATTCCCTGTCTGGTCGTGCAGGAGAAATTGCCCATTGCTCTGCAGGAAAGCTGTGCAAAATGAACCCACTGCCTTCACGGCTGGAAGACGCCTAGCAAAACTGGGCAGCAGATGTCGCAACGGGACTTCTTGCTTGGCTTTTCCATGAGAAATCGGTGTGCTGAGAAGGCTAGACCTTTCTGCAGAGGGGGAAAAAATGCAACCCTAAAGTCATTTCTTAAAAAGACCAAACAGATACTCTAAACACAGTGTCTGCTCTCCTTCCCCTTCTCTGCACCAACTTCCTGGCGCGAGTCCTCCAGCTGGTGGGGAGGGGAGGGGACGGAATCCCTAGCTCATTCGCACACTCTCCCCCCTGCTCCTTCTCTTGGAAGGAACAGGAATGCTGCTGATTCAAAAATCAGACACTTCTGTGGAGCTGGCCAGCTCTCCACCCGACGCCCCTGGAGCCCTGAGGCAGCACCTCAGTCCTGCACTTCTCTGCCAGCCCTGGCCTGCGCCTCCAGAGAGCCAACAATTCCCCATCCACCCCCAGGGCTGGCCCAGCTGCCAGGAGCACCCTGAGCCACCTGGACAGCTCCAGCTAGCAAGCACTTTAAATAATAAACTATGCATTCCTTGTCTGTCTGCAGCTCCGGGTGGATTTTCCTACTTCAGCTGGAGGCCTGCTCTTCTGTGAGTTACTGAGTGCTTGGGGCGGGTGTGTGTTGCATAAGAGTCCAGGGGAGAACTGGACAAGAACACTTTGCTCCTCTCCTCATCCAAGTCCTCTGTTTGGTGGAACTGCATGTGGGAAAAAGGCTTCAGACACACACAAAATATCATTACAGCAGTTTCTTTTCTGTTGCAGTGTTTGATTTATAAATTTTCTTTCTCAATCAAGGAATGGGAATATTCACGAAGAGGTCCAATATGCTTGCCCGGTAATAATATTTTTGTGTGCTCACAGAGAACGTGACCAACAGATCAGTTGAAGAGGAGGGGAAAACTCATCGAACATTCTGATCACAGAACGCAGATCTGTGGGAGCAACAAGCAAGTATGTTTATGGTTTGTGGTCTACAGAAGAACAATTGCCCAAAGATGTCTAGGTCCTAATCCTTGGAACCTATGAATATATTATCTTACATGGCAAAAGGCATTTTGCAAATGTGATTATGAATCCTGAGATGGGGAGATGATCCTGGATCACCCAGGTGGGCCCCATATAATCGTGTGTGTCCTTATCTGAGGAAGGCAGAGGGAGACTTGACCACAGAAGTGAACTGTAGTGTGAGAAAGACTCAACCAGGCATTGCTGGCTTTGAAGACGGAGGAAGAGGCCACTAGCCAAGGAATGCAGACAGCTTCTAGAAGGAAACGGATTCTCCCCTCAAGCCTCCAGAAAGGAACGTGGCCTGCCAACACCTTGGTTTTAGCCCAGTAAAACTGATTTCAGATTTCTGACCTCCAGAAGTGTCAGATAATAAATTCATGCTGCTTTAAGCCACTAGATTTTTGGTAATTTGTTGCAGCTGCTATAGGACACTAACATGGTCTCACCTGCTGGCCAGTGAGAGGGCGCCTTGAACATAACTAGGACGGCAAACAGCAGACAGAGAGAGCCACGATGCTCAGAGTGCACACAAAGCACCTTGGGACTCCAGAAAACTAAATGGATCAGTCTAACTGTGGTAATCAAGAACAAGATGGATTTTCAACACCAGTAAAAAGACAGACAGAAAGGTCGTTCCACACAGTTCCATAAACCGAAGGGTACCTTTAATATACCAAAGGCCCTGTGACTTAGAATGTGCAATCTAGTTTGAACCACATTAAGTAATGCATCACTTATCTACCTAATACATTAAGTAAGGGGGAACCTCTATGCACATAAATGTAAAGACCTCAACGTGACTAGCTGGGAAAAGGCAATTTAGTATCACAAAGCTTAAACAGACCATTTTTATAGAAGAAACAGAAAAAGTTATGAAGCAACTATATCCACAAAAAGCTCCGGGCTGAGATGGTCCCACAGGGGGTTCTACCAAGCCTTCACAGACCAGACAGCCTCAGTGACTCATAAAGTGCTCTGCTCTCCAATACCAAAATCAGAGAAAGCTTCCACACACAACACCTAAACTGATAATGATACCATGCACAAAAAGGAAATTATGGAGCAATGACACACATGAATATCGATGCACAAGGCCTAAATAATAAATATTAGTGAATATAACATAGTATCACTTTAAGGAAATACACAACCAAGTGAGATTTATTCCAGGAATTCAAGGTTGGAACAATATCAGGAAATCCATGCACATAATATACCATGTTAATGTAAGTAAAGGGAAAAATCATATGAATGCCTCCACAATGCTGATAAAATCTTTGACAAAATTCAGTATCTACTTCTGATTCTAAAAAATACACTCTCACTGGCCAAATCTGAGAAAATCCGAGCATCGAAGTAAATAAATATAGTAACAGGCATCCATGGAGTAAAATAGGAATCTGTGAGCCCACACCGACATAAATAAATGGGGGAGAAGATGAAGCCCTTGTTGCAGTAGGTCACCATGGAAAATGTGGAGGCAATGATGGAGTTAGAAAAGCACCGTTTTGAAATCATCACACAGTAATAACTGAGTCATCCAAGAATCATCAACAGATGCTAGTGAGTGAAAGTTTGATGAAAAACAGGGAATTTACATAGGCTCAAAGTATCCCCACGAATTATTTATTAGTTACATAAGGGAAGATAAATAACTTTACAGCAGATTAACCTAGAAACACAACCTTATCTAACGAGTGAAATTTAACACCCCAATAAT